AAGTTCCAGAATTTTGGAAATTCGATTATCCTTTTCTTTTTCTTCCACAAGATGAGCATTCTTCCTTCAAAAAATGGATTTAAATGGCTTGAATTGTTATCTTTTTCTACTATAAATAGATGACTATCTTCATTAGAGATTTGAAATGAATTAGAAGATAGATTTCCATATTACTATAAATCTTTATTTACATGAAGACCTTTCTTAGTGTCTTCCTTTGTAATTAAGAAATAAAAGGATTTCCTCTCCCTTTGCAAATCAACACCAACCTTGAAACTTACATGTTTGACACTTGAATGAAATTCTTTCCTCGCCATTGATCTTGTAGTCTAATTATTGAACTGGATTGTCTTGCTAGATCTGATGGATTTGGCATATTTCATTTTGAATGATCTAACTTGATGATCAACATCTTCAGAGCCACTATCCTCCTTTCTCCTCACCTCGCCACCAAAAGATTTTGTGCAAGGAGCCACAATTCTTGAGATTCTCACACAAGATAGTCTCTCTCTAGAATCTTAGAGCTTCTCTCACTTGTAATTCAACTTGCTCTAGAATCACACAAGGGTTTGTTATCTCTTAGTAATGTGATTTATGGCACTTGGGGATCAAAAAAAGAGAAATGATTGGGGTCATGTCCCTTATCGATATAGCAAGCTGGCACATTTGTTGCAGGCAACATATATTCTTCAATTATTATACCCATATTCTGAAATAGATTGATGAGACTTTGATCAATCGAGGACTTTCAATTTGCATATTTTATCATTTTCATCTTAAGTTGATTGGCATATGCTCTATTATTCCTCAAAGTTTAGTGCAAGATGCATAAAAATATATGAAATGTGGTTAATAAAGAATAAAATTATATATATATATATATATATATACTTTTTTTTTATTCACTTTTGAATTTGACGTTTATGATAACTCAAAGAGATGTCCATGATTCAAAGGCTTTATCTCTAAATTTTGATGAATTAATAATGTCAACATGAGCATATTTAATATATATATTTAATCCTAAATAAAATTAAATTGGATTTGAGATATTTCTAATTATTTTTTGACATCATGTGTAGGGGTTTTTATAACCGCTTTCAATGCTAGAAGACATTTCGCCTATGATTATTTGATTTTTTGTTAAATTCAAATATTTTGATGTAGGTTATTTATAGTGCATATTCAATAGTAAATTAAAACAGTAAGTTAAATTTCATAATATAATTTTGATTAGTGAGTTTTGAGTTTTCTTTAGGTTATATGTGCGTTTACATACTTTCTAGCAATCCATGGAGAGAAGCATACTCTGATTTCATATGCTTTAACGACAGTCTGCATTAGCCCTACTATGCAAATACTGTAAAGATAATAAATACTGTGAAATATGCCAATCAGCAAAATAATTACAAAAGAAGATAGTGATATGTTATTTAATAACATGAATTATACTTTCTTTGTTAATTATATTACTTATACTTATTATACATGATATTTATTTGCTTGCTTTAAATCCAAATATATTATTATCTTGCATCAATTGAAATTAAAAAATTGTGTTGTTAGTCCGAACTTCTAATACATCGAGGAAATATATTTAGAACTATAATCTTCTATGTCTAGGTGATGTCCTTAAGATTAGGGGTGTCAATTTTTGACACGACCCGAAACCCGACTCGGACCCGACCCCAAAAAATTCGGGTTCGGGACAACCCGTTTACGAAACGTGTCGGGTTCGAATTTTTTACCCTTTTGGCCCGATAACCCGCGGGTCGACTCGTTTGACCCGAAAATTTGATCTGTCGCGTAAAGACAGCACTGTGCCGCTAACCCGCTGTCGAGTTTCGTCAAGCGACACAAGCCGTCACGTCATGATGACTCCGCGTCTCCGTCGCTCCGCCGCTCAACTGCTCCGTCGCTCAGCTGCTCCGCCTGGCCGCCTCGATCGCGTTAGGCCCTAGCGGCTAGGGTTCCTCGGTTCGACCCAACATAGCCATGCAGCTACGCAGACTGCTTCGCCTCGACCAATCGATCTCGCCAAGTCGCCCAGTGCCAGCATCCACACTGGCTAGTCTAGCCCGACGCTGCTACACATCCGTGAGTCGCGACTCAGTGACTGCGTCCGTGTGTCGGGTCGGGTCAGGTCAACCCTATAACCCGTGCGGGTCGAGTTCGGGTTAAAAATCTTGACCCATTTAGCTAAACGTGTCAGGTTCGAGTAAACCCGTTTATGCTCTGGTCAACTCGGATTGGACCCGAACCTGACCCGTTGACCCAAATTGACACTCCTACTTAAGACCCAGTGAAAGCCAGCTTTATTTAAAATTTAAATTTTGGCTTGTTAAACTCAGGCCCACGAGAAGCACACTTTATTCAAAAGTTTTTGTCTAACTCAGGCCCCATGAGAGGCCCATATCTATTAGCAGGCTTATGATAGGCCCACATCCATTTACTTTAATAGCAAAACTATCCTTTGGATAACCCAAAATAGATCACCTACGGGATCCAATAGGCCACAAAATCTATAATACTCTTTTTTTTTATATTTTAGTTAAATTATCATTAAATCGTATCTCAATACTTTTATAAATTTTCGACGGTTGACATAGATTTTTAATTAATAACTTTATTCAAAATTATTATATTATAAAATTTTATAATTTGCATCACTAAATATGTATATATAATTATGTGTATGTTATAAATTTTTTTTTTATAAAACTAACATCTCAATATTTAAGGTGATATAAAATAATTATACATTTTTAAATTAATAGAATACATAATTTAATAATTTCTTGAAAATAAATATGTATATTCTTGATATATCAAAATATTATTTTACTATGAAATATTAAATTTAAAGGAAAAAAATATCAACCAAAATGATTAGAAGTATTTTAAAAATAATAAATTTGTATCCTCACATATAAAAAGTTATACCTTCAACAAGACCAATGTGTCAGGGCCTGTTCGTCGGGTTCAGGACGCGCACCGCGGCTGAGCAGGCATGCACGCGACAGTGGCAATGCCGCAGCGGCAGGGCAGGCACGCACACGGCAGCGGCAATGCCGCAGCGGCAGAGCAGGCACACAAGCGCGAGACTCGACCGTTCGAGACGCTATAGTCTCAACGCTTCGGGACGCGCATGCGTCGACGCGACTTGACAGCTCACAGATGACGCGTTAGGCGGGCAGGGCGAGCAACAAACCCAAACCCGAATTTTCAAGTCATTTTCGAGTTGCCAGGTCGACCTGAACCCGACCCGCTTTTTGAAACGGGTCAGTTTATTGAACTCGAACCCAGATTTTTCCAGGTTGGGTCAGGGTCGGATTTCGGGTCGTCTCAAAAATTGACACCCCTAATTTGGGACAGCTTTTTAATCATTATTTGTGAATGACAATTGCCGCTAACAAGGAAGACGCAGAGAAAAGGAAGGAGGAGAAGGTGCTTTTAAGCAAAAATGGTCAAATATTCTATTGCTCAAAAGCAAATAGTCCATGATCTATGGGTGTCAAAAATTGACCCGACCCGAAAAAATTCGGGTTTGGGTCAACCCGTTTGTGAAACGGGTCGGGTCAGGGTTCGGATTTCTGACCCGTTTAAAAAACGGGTCGGGTTCGGGTTGACTCGGTAACCCCGACCCGATTTGACCCGAAAAATGGCTTTCGTGGCTCTGCTCAGATAGTGTCGCATCTGGTCCGATTGTCCGAAATCCAAACCCGCGTGTCTCATGCCAATGCCGGCTTTCACACTGTTGTGCTCGCCCGCTGTGCTGGCTTCACCCGCTGCTTGGCTCGCCCGCTGCGCTAGCCTCACCCGCGTCAGGGTTGGCCGTTGGCCTCGATCGGTGCTGGACACACTCGAGTCCGTGTTGGCCTAGACGGCTCGACCCTCGCTGGCCACACTCGCGGACAAGCCCTCGATGCCTCAGTGCCTCACCTGCGCTGGGACGCTGGCCTCGACGTGAGTCACGCGACGACGCCTCGTCTGCCTCACTCGGTCGCTAGCCTCGCATGTAGCGAACGGTTGGAAATGCTGAACATGTTAGGTTTTGCAGGCCGGGTCGGGTCAACCTGGTAACCCGACCAGGTCAGGTCCGGGTTGGCTATTCGAACCCGTTTAGCTAAACGGGTCGGGTTCGGGTCAACCTGTTTACACTCGGGTCAACTTGGTTTGGACCCGAACCGACCCGTTGACCCAAATTGACACCCCTACCATGATCCACTCGAATTTTTTTAAGTACGGATACTTTGATTTGAATAAAATCTTCGAGTAGGTGTTTCCCACAAGGTAAACATACGAAATATTTTCCCATTTCAGTTTTTATTGATAAATAAATTAAATTCTTAATTTTTTTTAGTATTAAAAAGACAAAAAAATTGTTAAATACTGCTATAAATATAATTGCAATGTAATATATATTGTAAAAACTTTGTTAAGCGTTCTTTTACATTTTACCTCTACCTTAGGATAAATTATTATATGTGGACACCAGACGATCTGGAGATTAACCAGAAAGTGCCACATCACCCGGTATATAGCGATATCGAGCACCAGTGCCGAACAAAAAAAATTACGTTGTGAGTTTTGGTTGGTATCTGGACACCACACAAAATATTTTTTCCTACCTTAAGCCTTAGGGCATCTCCAATCGAATCACAAGCAAGTATTTATAGTGACCGCGGAGTTCCAATGGAAGGTCAGATTCATCGTCATTTTGTGAGAGGTGAATACTAGGACGTCAATATTTACGTCATTTTTTCATCATTTCTTTCTGTTGGAGAAAGAATAAACTCGGTATATTCTTTTTTTTATGTTAAAAATAAAATTTGGTTGAAGTTGTATTTTTTAGTAATTTTATATTTTAGAGTGTAAAATGAGATATTCGGTTGAAGATGATATTAATCTTTGAAGACAATAAATTTATTATTTTTTAAATAACATTTTTCTATTTAAAAGTCCGACCGCCGAAGAATCCGCTGGATCTGAAAGCGATGGCCACGCCAGCTGTTGCTTCGCCGTCGTTTCTTCCATTGCTCAACTGGTGCCCGCCTCGAATTATCTGCCCTAGTTCAGCCTCCCCTAAACAAAAAATCTTACTATCACGCACAGATCCCCGGTTTTTTTGTTCTTTCTTTCTCGCATACCGCGGCTGAAACAGTTTGGTCATGTAGCTCTGATCTGGTAGTCTCTTTTGGAACCTCTTTGTTCCAAGATCAAGAACTAGGTATTGAGGGAGGCTCAGATCGCTATGGACGGCTCCGGTAGTGTTGAGCCGAGCGAGATCCTCAGGTAATTATTCCGCAATGTTTCGTCTTTCCCGTATTTACGACTTCGGCAATTTTATGTGAGTTAAATTGGATGAAAGGATTTAGATTTTGGAGTGGGCCGAATAAATTTCTTGATCAACACATGCAAAGATTTTAATAGTAGCAGATGTGAATGAAAAGAAGTTTGCTTGGGGAGAGTTTATGTTGTGTGCGTGCACGCGTACAAACTGGAGTGAATTGCATGCACGCTGTGTGATGCGAGATGGTGGAGTTGATTATGGGTTTGAAAAACAGTTTGTTATTTCTGTGGTTGACCTTATTTATTTTGTTTATTTGTCTGTGTTGAGATCTGAATCCTATGGATTTGTTTGTTTGAAGTAATTATTCATGGAGAGCGTCTTTTTCCCTGTTTTGGCAAATGCCAAGCAAGAATGGGGCTGATTCAAATTGCACGTCTTTGAGCCTGTTTTTGAAATGGCTTTCAAAAACATTAGGTTATTATTCTTTATTGGGGATAATGTGCAAGAAAAGAGTGTTGGAGTTGAACTGAGTTTGCATGGTCAAATCCGTTTTTCATTGTTGGAAATTATGGGGATTTGTAAAATGTTATGCATGTGGTTAAGTTCCATGACTGCATGATGCATTTGGATAATGTTAGAGGGCCAAGTGTTAAGGTGCATGAGAGTATAGAGGATTTGCTCCGCATAGGATTGGACTCTATAATAGGTTTAAGTTTTTTGATTGAAATGAGTGTGGCCATTGGTGTGTTACACATTCAAGCTCAAATCTGGTCGCCTTCAATGGACACTTACCAGCAGGTACTGTCGAATTTAATGGTTGGAATGGAACAAGTGATTCATGCACTGTGTTTTTGGCTTGAAAATGGATTTGATTATTGGTTTACTATGCATTCACATTCTACTTTGGTCCTCTTTGATATACACTTCTCAACAAGTAGCATCAGAGTCAATGGTTTGGCTAGAATTAAGTAATTCATGCAATTGTGGCTCCCATGGGTGTTTGGTTCCATCCATCATTGTTGTGTGAGGTTCAAGGGTGGGTTACTCATGTGGTGACTCTGTATGGTTGAGTGAATTTTGGTGCATGATATTTGATGGTATCTAAAAAGTTTTTATTTAAGGAGAGTAGTAATCAATGTGGAGAACTTGGTGATTTCAAAAAACTTTTGTTTGAGGGGACTGGTAGCTAATGTGGAGAGCTCTCATGTGATGGGATGGCATGGTAATTGGTGATGTCATAACAACTTCCCTTTGAGGGGAGTGGTGGCTAATGTACAGAGCTTTCGCATGAGGGAGGGAGAAATTTTTAAGGCATGCGAGAGTTTCATGTTTAGGTTGATGGCAACTAGATTAAAAATATATTCGTGTATATCAAGTGGTTGACTCTCTTATTAGTTTAAACTTTTGTATTAAAATCAGATTAGAACACTGTGTATCAAGCTCAACTTAGGTCCCTGTTTCATCCAACCTCCCTTTAGTCCCTTACACCAACATCCTTTTCACAACAATAAATATATGTACCACAAAGTTTATTTGTGTTTCATAATTTTCAAATATTTATGTGTGATTGTTGCCAGTAAAATCGTGATCTCGCCTATGCTAATTATTATTGTCGTCATCATCATTAGCCTCATCTCACTTGATACTTGCATGCATCAAATTTATGTTACACTAATAATGGGAATTCCAAGCTTTAAAGCTAAGAAATAATATTAAATCTTGCATACTCTTACTCGGTTTCCATTCATAATGCAGCTTATTGGCAGCTGTTTCCTACGGCATAGCTTCAATGGCCATGGTTTTTATCAATAAGGCAATCCTAATGAAGTATGCCTACTCGATGACACTTCTTACTGTGCAGGTATTTAGCATGGTTTGTACTGCTAACTATGATTTTCATTGTTACTGATAAATTGCTTTTCTAAACCCAATCACTGCAGCAATTGGCAACTGCACTTCTAATTCATTTAGGACGTGTTATGGGATATACAAAATCGTCCAGTTTGAACCTAGCCACCGCAAAAAAACTCCTCCCACTCTCCCTATTCTACAATGCCAATGTTGCGTTTGCTTTGGCAAGTTTGAAGGGGGTAAACATTCCTATGTACATCGCACTGAAGAGACTCACACCTCTTGCTGTCCTGATTGCTGGATTTTTCTCGGGAAAGGGCAGGCCACAGTTGCAGGTAGGATTTCTTCTGATTATTTGTTTTTTTAGCCTTCCTAGTGGGTGCTTGAAAGTGGAGGGAATTTCCATCATCACAGGTTTTTCCTTGGGAGTAATTCTTCTTTCAAAACCGGTGGAATTGGTCTTTGTTTTGGAAAGGTAGAGTGGAAGTGTTGTGTGCTCAAATTCATGTAGTACAAGTAAATTCAATACCGAAAGTAGATATTTTTTGCGGCCAAAAGTAGCAATTATGCCTTATTATTTGAATTGTGCAACTATCTTCCTGTTTACGAGTAATATGAGAAAATGGGTACTTACATTTGAATATTCTCAAGTCAGTCTTTCTACTCCAGAACTTTTGTTAAATTTCCTCCCTCTCAACCAATGTTGCATGACACATGTAATAGTTGCTATATACATTTTCTGCTACAAATGACTTGGTTGCTCACATTTTATATACTTAAGGAACCAATTTGCCAAGTTTTCAAATAATTTGGACTTATTCATCCTTTTCTATTTGGGGACCTAGTGCAAAATAACTAATAATGAAAAAAAATTGAATCATATGATAGTTAGGCAAGCTTAACCCATAATCCTTTATACTGATCTACCCTATAGACCTTAGAATGGGTCATCATTCACAAAAGTACGACGTTTAAGCAACTCCATGCATCTTTGTGTTTGTAGAATATCATTTTCGTCATTCGATAGATTTGTGTGCCAGTGGTTTCTCTTGGGTATATTTGACGTCTTGAACGTATTGGCACGATCAGTCTTGAACGTATTGGCACGATCAATTTTATTAATAGACGATGTTTGAATGGTTTTAACCATGATTGAGGCATTTCAAACTTGCTAAGCAAGATGTCACTTCAGTTCATCATTGTTCTCATCGCGCCTGCTCGAATCAATTTTCGATATCATCTAGGATAAAAACTTCCCCACTGCAATGCAATCCTGTAATTCGGGCTTTTCTTTTCTGTTCTGCTGATTGCAAGTGTTTTAGCATTTTTCAGGTATCTCTTTCAGTTCTTGCGACTGCTTTGGGCGTCATCATTGCAGCATTGGGGGACTTCTCTTTTGACCTGTTTGGGTACAGCATGGCTCTTACTTCTGTTTTCTTCCAGGTTTTTTCTTTTTCCTGTGCTGCTGTTCTTGTTAAAACTTAAAATATTTATCAGAAACTGCTAACTACCTTTTTATGACTCTGACTTTTAATTTCTCATTTAGACCATGTATCTGATGCTTGTGGAGAAATCTAGTGCAGAGGATGGGCTTTCATCAGTTGAAATAATGCTCTATAATGCAATTCTGTCGCTTCCCTTTCTTCTATTCTTAATTATAGCCACTGCAGAGTTCCCCCAGTCTTTGTTTTTACTGTTTGAAAAGGTTAGAAACGGCAAACTCTATTTTTTCTGCTCCTTTTGCAACCGGAATATTGTTAAAATATTTTCCCTAGACTTTTTGAAGGATTTTATCATTTATTTTTTATTCTGATACCCTCCAATTCAGAACGTTTTCTTTAGTAGCAACATGTTGTCATTATTGAGCTGTATTTTAAGAGCAATTATGCTGTGCGGACATAGTCATTTTTATTGGTCTCTGGACAAATTTGGACGCCGCAGGGGATTATTTTTCGTGTTTTAAAGTCTACTTTCGAAGTATAAGCAGTTTCTGTTTAGATGCAGTTTTCCATATTATTTTCTATAGATTTTGGAACCTAAATTTAGGTTCACCAGGTTAATTCTTATCGATTCCTCTGAAAAGTTGATCCTTGTCCCATAATAACTTCTGAATCTCAGAAACATTTGCCGGTGAGTGTTTTTCCTACTGTGATAGCAGCAGATATTATACTTGTTTATATTAATACTACGGTAAAAAAAATACTTTGCAGCCCTCCCCAGTTATTTTTCTGTTTCTGCTACTCTGTTTTCTCTTCCCAAGTCTGTAATGCTTCCTATTTACAAAACACTCATACAAAAATGCAAGCAATCTCCTTACTGTATCTGATTTTTTTTGTCGGCAGGCACATTCCTTCACATTCTTTCTAATCTTCATTCTTTCATTGGTAATGGGAATTGTTTTAAACTTCACAATGTTCCTCTGCACAATTGTAAACTCTGCGCTAACAACAACAATCGTTGGAGTTCTCAAAGGAGTTGGCTCTACTGTAAGCTATACTATTCTCTTTTTAACATCTACTAGATGGCCTTCCATGGCCATATTCCTGAACTTATTTGTGTATTGCAGACTCTTGGTTTTCTCTTGTTGGGTGGCGTTGAAGTTCATGCTCTCAATGTCACAGGATTGATCATCAATACTATTGGTGGTGTGTGGTATTCATATGCCAAATATCAGCAAAAGAGAAGAGCACCTAAGAAACTAACTTCTGATGAAGAAGCTCATTACAAAGAGAAAAATTAGGCTATATTAGCAGTTTAATCTCTTCTCTTTTCAATTTATTTTGATGTCTTGAGAGTTTTTAGGGTCAATAAGTGCAATAAAAATAGGTATTGTTTACCTACATCAAATTCAATTGACTGAGAGCATTAGGAGCTGTAAAGACTTAATTACCATGGGAATAGATCTTGTATTACTCAACTTGTAATATCCTAAAAACATTTTTTATGTATTGTGCACTCAATCATAATTAAACAAATCGCCTTTCTGTTGCATTATTAGATGTGGAGGGAGGATTTATTGTTGCTGCAGTTTGCTTCAATTTTTTGTCAAGCTTTTTGCCTTTGTTAATGTTTCTCTTCAATCTTTTGAACCAGTAACCTTCAAAAAAAGTAAGGTTCTCTTCCTACCAACTCAACTGATTCTTTCACATTGTTTGAAAATTTATTGAGAGTAAATAAAGGATGGTAAGAAGGAAAGAACAATAATGATTAAAATGCAGAGTTATCTTGTGAGCAGCAAGTAAATCAGTCATAGAAAGCCAAATGAGCTATTTTAATTGGGAATATTTGCTTACCACCTTATGACGTGTTATAATTGATGCTATCAGAATTCCGAGAGCCTCCATGACAAAGCTTTCTGAAAAGAAAACAAATCAGAGAACCACCTGTAAATGCCATGCAAGCTGAGAATGGAAGAACTAAGATCTTCTTTCTGTAACTCTAAAATAGATTGGATAAAACAGAGATAAAGCAGGTTTCTTCGTTATTGGAATTCAAATAGTTGCAGTTTCTAGCAATGAATAGCGCCAAATACTACAAACAAAAACACTATTTTTTTCTGCTCTTTCTTGGAATTCCAGGATAGAGCTATATGCTATAACAGGCAAAGATTGCACAAAGACTAAGTTACAATTTAAACTTGTTTATATGCTTACAATCGCTTCACTAAAAATGCTAACCACCATATTGAAATCACCTCATAGCCAGATTCCTCAGCTTTCAAGGGGAATTCCACCTACTACACATAGGAATCATCATATAGAAGGAATAAATTGCATGAGATTCAGATTAATACAAGTATATACTTCCCATTAATCAAAAGAATCAGCAGAAAAATCAGGCTCATCAGGCTTCTTCAACTTGGGCAGATCAATAGCTTTGCTTTTCTGAGCACCTTTCCTACCATATGCTGCGAACTTGGAAGCCAGCATCATAGCTCTGATGTTTTGCTTAGGTTGTGAGGATTCAGCCGAGCTTGGACTTCCATCTTCCTCCTGCTCAGATTCCTGAGTTGCTTGGCTTTCAGCTCTGGAAGAGAAAGACTCGCTCAAACTAAAACTCTTTGATATCTTCCTTCTTTTGTAACGACGCCAGGCTGCTTGAATGAAGCAAGCAGCCCAGTTCCTCCAGTGATGGGAGTAGAACCGGAAGGTATGCTGCAGTTTCTTGCTATGGAGTCGTCTGAATTGGTTTGCCACAAACTTGAGATCTTCTGCTCTCAAAGCAAAAGCCTCTACTTCGACAAGAGTCCGAACGGTTCTAGTCGAAGAGGGCAGATTGGCCGTCGACTTTGGAACCAGGGCCCAAGAAAGAAGCTCCTCGCCGCAGAAATCACCTGGCCTTAATGTTATAGAGTTGAAGAAGCCTGTCCTACCACCATTGGTGGTGGAGCTTTCTAACCTTCCACGGATCACAAAGAGCATCTCAGTCACTGGGTCACCCTCACGAACAATGTAGGTGCCTTCAGTGCTCAGGGAGGAAACTAAACGCTCACATATAGCATCAAGGAGTTGATCGTCCATCTGGGAGAAGAAGGGGACCTGCATATTGCAATGGAGGAATATGATCAGAATTTTCCATTTGTGAAGGTAAGGACATCATTGCAAAAGGTTCTGTCGTCCAATTATAGTCAATTCAACAACTGAAGTATGGAGACTACTGGCATACTGTTAAACTTCATATTTATAATAAGAAAATGTTGTCATTAACTTGTGGCTGGCCACCACCATAATGCTCTAAAACTCATAAAAATTTATATTTCCGAAGGTTTTCTAGGTACACATTACTAGGATTGGACCATATGTAGAGATCTACAGTTGGTGAACGACAAACATATTTACACATCGATTGAAATTTTAAGAGAATTAGCTGGAATGGTAAATGATGGAAAATAAGCATCCAAATTTCTTGTTGTCTCTTGTGGCCAGGTGCTATGGTTATCTCTACAGTTTTAGAGATCAAATTCCAATTCTTCATTCAAATTCTTCTCCCAAGAATGTCATCCAAGTTCAAGGCTCCCTGGTGATGGTCATGTTGGCTAAACTAGAGCAGCAGATATCAGATAAAGCGTGAAACAAGTAGCAGGTGATCAACAAGGTGAGCAGGGAGTTGCAACTACGCTTTTGGATTTAGATGATAATCCAAGTAGCTTTATCCCAATTATTTGGAGTTGGAATTATGAATTCTCAATTTCCATTTGTTCCTATATCCATATAACCTTAAGTTTACCGAATGTCATTTCCAATCTTCAATTTGTCTAACAGATATTTTCTAGTGTCCAAATCATCTAAATCTATTTTTCAGAAACTTATCTTCCTATTTAACCCTTGATTTTTTTACTGAAGAGTGAGCAGCTGATCTTCCTATTTAACCCTTGATGATGGAGCTTCATAGATTCCTTGTTCTACAACACGGTCTCACCAAAAATCAAAACATCATCTATGAAAAAAAGGTGGGAGATCTTTGGGTTTGATTGGTTAATATAAGAGAACTTACCACAATGAATAACCTGTTTAAGCATACAAGAGAAAGCATCCATCAGTTCTAAGAGATGACAAGTATAAATCCCCTAACAAATCTAATGGTAAGGAGGATATTTTTTAAAAAATTCTCTCAAAGATAAAAGCACACTGAGCTAGAAAACTGATAGATATGAGAGAGGATTTTCTTAAGCCTGAGAAAAAACCTTGGCTATAATTTTGTAAAAAGTTGCGAAGAAAAATATGTTTATAAAGTTTTCCATTGAATGAGCACCTTTATACTAGAAAAAAGGGTAATAAAAGTGGCCCAGGCCTATTTTAGAAACATAGCCACAGATAAAAAATGTAGAGCAATAATAGTGAAATTAGGGGCAGCAAGGTGTCAATAAGAAGCAAAGAGCTTAGCAATTAATCCATCAGTTCCAGGGGATTTGTTATTGATAGAGAAGAAAAAAGATTAATGATATTAAAAGCTCAAATATCATTTATCAATTAAACAAACTATTCATTAGTCAAAGTATTATAAATTTGGAGAATATCAAGGGCCAAGAAAGCACTTATGTTATGGAATTTATTGAAGAAGAGAAGACCGTTAGTAATGAGGTTACGGGAAGTAACCCTATCATTATTGTTGAAAATATATATGATAATTTATAGATTTCCACTTGATATTATGGCAAAAAAATTTCAAATTGTCCTCATACTGAGCCTATGACCTAGCTCTTTGCTAAGCTTATGAGAGGTCCAGACTTTTGTGCTTTTTAAATTTAGAGGACAGTCAAATTTTTCTTTAAGCACATCAGAATTAAGAGGGGTGAAAATTAGGTCCTTGATCTTTATCTCAAACAGATGATACTAATCTTAAGATGTTTAGCCAAGTGTTTATAGTCATTGATTTTGGTGGAGTCATGCTGACCCCAAGCATTCTAAGCTTGTATTTGGAGTGATAAATTAACATCACTGGCAATTAGTGAGAATATCTCAAGCTAGGGTGTCTCCAAGGCAAGAAAAGAAGCTTACAAGGATTGTCCAAGATTGAATTTGAATTAATTGATTATGGAAAGAGCTGTGATAAATTTGAGGTGTTGAGAGAGCATTGGCTTAAGGAAGAGAAGAGGTATTGATCAAAGCCTAAATACTACCCAATATTATAGATAAGCTCAAAACATATACTCGAACCAAACAAACTAATATATTCAACATGATGGTCATTAACAGATTAGCTTGATAATCCTAAAATCGATTAACATTACTTGTCATGAACCTGAAAACTTTCAATGTGTTCTATTAGTGCATATTTATGGAAGGCACAGCTTTGACAAACATGCTCTTTTTCTAGTCCATCAACATTGTTGTGTGGGCTTCAAAAATTCATGCCCCGACTTCCCCACACTTTTTTTGCTGACGAGGAGCGTTTTAATGAGTTTAGGTTCCGAGGTAGATTTTCAAAAGGCAAATAGGTCTTTAGATAAGATAATATCCAAAGATCTCAGCCTCATTTTATGAGGATTTTATGATCTGAGTTCTGGTTTCCCGTAGACGCAAGCCCCTATGGCTAATTATTCCTCCCAATAATGATAGGGAACTTTCAATTAAGGCTAATGGTTAACTAGGTCATAATAATTACCTAATATATAATAGCAGCGATTTTAGGGTTTGAATTTGATTTTAGAGTTTATGATTTGAAATTTATCACCATATACTTAAAGTGAATGATGGGGGAGTGATGATGAGCCCATAGGCTTTGACAATGACCGTAATATAATAATGTCAATTTGCAGCAAAATCACTCGGTCAGAGGACACGTGCCATGTCTCTCTTGGATTGAGAATGAATTATAGTAATACATTCCATAAGACATCTTCCCTTACTGAGCTGAAGTTATTCTCCAATTCTTCATCATCATCAAATCGTTGCGAAATGTTGATGGACTTTAGTTTTTAAGTTTTTTGTAATTAAATTTACATTTAAATGATTATAATTTGATAATATTTGAGAATTGATTCCTCCGGTTGAGTTTTATATTCAACACAGTCATCATCGAGGTGGAGACATAATAGTCATTTGAAAATGTTTGTATTTTATAGAAATTTAGTGGCATTTGAAAGGATAGTCCCCTCCGGTTAAGATTAACTATCAACATGGCCATCATTGAGATGACAAAACTGCCATAAAAAGATTTGTATTTAATCAAAATTTGGAGGTATTTAAAGGTAGAGTCCCCTTCGGCTGAGATTAGCTTTCAACACAACCATCATCAGCGTTTGAGCAATTTTAACAAATCTGCAAAGCATTCTCATATCTCACATTAAGGAGCTTGGCGTAAAAGATCGGAGCACATGCGAAACTTATTTTAGCGTATAGATTGGAGCTATTGTCAAGGTATTTGAATATTTTTAGTAAATTCACAAGCATTCTCAAATCTCACATTAAAGAGCTTGATATAAAGATCGTAGCACATGCGGAGCTAAAGAATAGTGATGGTTCTATTAGAAACATCTGAGAAGCCATCAATGATGGACAAGATAACACTTTTTAACAATCCAAAAGTTTCAATACTTAGAAATTCTAGTTGTTGACATGATTAACCCAACCGATAGAGCATAGGATGAACACGACATTGAAGGTTGATTGTGTAAAATAAATAGTTAAATGAATTGAAACTTGTTTAAGATATGAGTAATGCTATTTAGATTGGTTGTATTTTATCACACATGTGGCGAAATAATCAAGTAGTTTTAACCTTTGTTTTGTAAGAAACTTTTGGCAACTGTAGGAATTTATGATGGTCCTTTTTGTTAAATATTCAATTAGGAAATTGTTTCTTGATATTAGAAAACGAACCACTTATTGTGATTACACATATTTCGGTCTTTAAAAGGCTTCCACCATGCACTAATATGTTGTGTGAGTGTTAAGTAAATGACTAATAAACCATTGATCTCCTACCCCCTCCTCATATATAAACCAAATGTTCAAGTGCCTCAGAGTTATTGTTTCTTTGAGTGCAAAATCTTACAATAACAACAACAACATCAAGCCTTTGTCCCACTACGTGGGGTCGACTACATGAATTCTTTTTTGTCATTGTGTCATGTTAAAAGTCAAGTTCTCATTTAAATCTAATAAAGAAAGATCATTTTTTATATTTTCTAACCAAATCCTTTTAGGTCTACCTCTGCCTTTTTTAACATAAGTCAAATCTAATAACTCAACTTTCCTAACCGGGTCATCGGAAGGCCTCTGTTTAATTGACCAAACCGTCTAAAGCGACTCTCTCTAATCTTATCATCCACTGGAGCTTCTCCAACCTTTTCACGTATATGTTCATTTCGTATCTATCTCTAAGGGTAAAGCCACTCATCCACCTAAGCATCCTCATCTCTACAACACTTAACTTAGTATTATGCATCTCTTTTAATTGGCCAACATTCAACACCATAAAGCATTGTAGGTCTCACCACCATCTTATAAAATTTTCCTTAAGTTTGAGGGGGACTTTTCTATCGCACAAGCCTGATGCATTCCTCCATTTCAATGATCCAACTTGAATTATGCTGATAACATCTACATCTATTTCACCATCACTATGAACAATAGATCCAAGACATCTAAAATGTGTACTCTTATAAATGACTTGATCGCCCAAAGTCACAATCCCCTCACTAGGTCTATTGCTACTTAAATTATACTTCATATATTCAATTTTAGATCTACTAAAGCGAAAACTTTAGACTCTAAGATTGACCTCCATAATTCAAGTTTACCTTCAACTCCCTCTCTAGTCTTACCAACAAGAAGAATATCATCGGCAAAAAGCATACACTAAGGTACATCCTCTTGCAAATGTTTAGTAAGAACATCCATGACTAAAGCAAAAAAGATATGGGCTTAAGGTTGATCCTTGATGTAATCCAACCGAAATAGGAAAATACTTGGTCAAACCACCTTGTGTTTGAACACAAGTAATAGCTCTTGCATACATATCTTTAATGATTTGAATATAAGTGTTATTAACTCCTTTCTTTTCAAGAACTCTCCATAGCACTTCTCTTAGAACTTTATCATATGCTTTCTCTAAATCAATAAATATCATATGTAGATCCTCCTTATTCTCTCTATATTTCTCCATCAAACCTCTCAATAAATGTAGGGCTTCCATAGTAGACCTACCCAGCATGAATCCAAATTGATTTCGGAAAACATTAGTATCACGCCGCAACGTATGCTCCATAACTCGCTCTCATAGTTTTAAAGTATGTCACATTAACTTAATTCCTCTATAATTCACACATTCCTGTGCATCACCTTTATTCTTAAAAATATAAATTAACACACTCAGTCTCCACTCATCTGGCATCTTTTTAGTCTTCAAAACAGTATTAAAAAGTTTAGTAACCCAAGAAATTCATTCATCTCCTAAGCAATTCCACACCTCTATTGGAATATCATCATGTACAACAGCTTTTCCACACTTCATTTTCTTTAAAGCCTCTCTAACTTCGGTTTTATAAATACGCCGATAAAAACAAAATTCTTATTTTCATTTAGGATGCTAAAGTTAATCGTATTTTTACATTCTTCATTAAAAAGTATAGCAAAATATCTCATCCACCTTTGTTGAATATCATCTTCTAAAAAAAGTACTTTTTAATCTTCATCCTTAATACACTTCACTTGAACTAAATCCTTATTACTTCAATCTCTTTGTTTGGCTAACTTTTATATATATTTCTCCCTCCTTAGTATCTAATCTATTATATAAATCATTAAAAACAAAGCTCTTTACATCACAAATAGCTTTCATAGATTCCTTACGATAGATTGCTCATTAACTCAACTATACCAATGGGTACTTGAGATAGATGAGGTCAATAGCCATAAGGATCATCGCCTGTGGAACCATTTTGAAAACCATTAGCCCGTGAACTTTTTAACATAATGCCTCCCTTCATATCTTTAGTATCTCTGATAGAAGGCTCAAGAGATTTGACTTGATCCTCTTGTCTGACAAAAGAAAACTTGGATTGATTGGTATTTTGAGAAAACTGTGATTTTAAAAGTGCAACACAAGCATTTTGGTCCATATTTTCACTGATAGGGGTGTCAACTTATGACTCGATCCGAACAAACGAGTCAGGTTCAAGTTCTAATTTTCAACCCGTTTGAAAAATCGGGTTGAGTTCGGGTCAACCACTAACCCGAAATTGACCCGGGTAATCAGCCTGCACCTCCCACTCGCACTTGCGCACTGCTTTGCACTAGCAAAAGACCGCGCCAGCGCCCTCACAGGCCCCGCTCTAACTTTATGCAACGCATTATCGCCCTAGATTTCATGCAGCTAACACGTCTCACTTCTCCTTCCTGCATCTCGTGTCGCTCTCGAGTCCCGATCCAGCCTGTTGCCAGCTGCCCGTACCGCACGTTGCACCATCCCACTCCCAGTCGTTGCAGGCTGCTCGCACCGCAACATCTCATCCCACTCCATCAGCATGACTGCACGCACCTCGTGATCGCGTACGCCTGCACTACGTCTCGCCCATACACGCTCTAGCCTGCTCTCGAGTCCACATGTCTGGTCGAGTTGACACAAATTTGGAGTGGGTCGGGTCCGAATTCAGATTTATAACCCGTTTGTGTAATCGGGGCCGGTTCGGGTTGGAGCAGTTGCATGAAGGACAGTTTTGGGTTGGACCCAAACACGACCCGAAAACCCATTTTGATATCCCTAGTCACTGAGTATCCTAGATAAGTCATTAGCTAGTGGCATTAACTCATTCCATTATTTTGTGAGATATATGAACGATTTTAAAATTAATATTAAAATTTGATGATTTATGTAAAAAGTCTTTTTTAGAAAAATATACAACTATTTATTATAAAATTGAATGCCTTCAAATTCCTCATGAGCTTTAGAGTTAATCTTCAATTTATATATTTTTTTGTTTTAAATTAATTATGTGAGGTCATTTGTCAGTTCAAAATTTTGACAGCCTTCCAGCATCCCCTTCCTACAAATGAAGGTTGGTAAGGCAATTGCCTTTCAATATGCTTGATCGGACCAAAGATTCGACAGAATGAGGGCTTCATGACCATTAGTCTCGGGACAGATCTTCGGGTCCTCAATTTTGTGGTACTTGTTTCTTTTTTTTTTTCCTTCAATATTTTCTCGGATAGCTGGCAGCCACTTGGTGTCCCCTTCCCGCAAGGGCAGATTGGGAAGGAACTTCCTTTCAATCTACCCAGTCCTATAAAAAAGATACAATGGTGCGAGAGCTTCGGGATGATTATTCCTAGCACAATTCTTCAGGTCTTCAATTGCTCGGTACCTATTTCTCTCTCTCTCTCTCTCTCCTTTCATTTTTCTTTCCTTTTTTTCTCTTTTTTTTTTACAAACACTCCACTATTAAACTCAAAACTCTGGGGAAGTTATCAGGATAGTGGTTGGTTCGGCTGGTCAGAAGCAAGGAGTGAACGAAGTCAGAGATAGACTAGACTGATTGAACAGAGAGGGTGCTCAAGCTTCCTGCATGCAGAATTGAGCGAACAAGAGGAAGAGAGGATGGGGCGAACAATTGCAAACACTCCATTGTTTGAGCTAACAATTGCTTCATTTGGGAGCGAAACACGTGAGGTGGGGCCGCAAGGTGGGATTGGTCGAATGGGTTGGTCGAGATGAAGGTGCAAGAGACTATGTTTGGGCTGATCGGGTCTAGAGGTGGTCAGTAGTCAATAGGTTGAAACTTGTTTATTTTGCATTCGAGGCAAAGCAAAATATTAATGATGATTGAAGAAATGAAAATAATATATATATATCATGAGATCTCTCATAGCTAAAATACTTGTCAAAGAATCGCATCACCAATACAATGTTATAAGTTACCTTGAAAATCAATTGAAAATGAAGATAAAGCTTTATTGAAGATTGGACTATTATGCCTCACTTTACTACTTGCTACAAATTTATGAAATCTATAATAATATGAGGAAAAGTGAAAACCAATCTTTGAGAAAAGAAAACAAAAAGATAAGTTTCCATGGGGACCAAGCATATGAAATGTAGAGAATGTAACGCTTATTTAGAGGGTAAGAACAATCTTTGTTAAAATGCATGGTATCACTATTCTTCCTATAATAAAAAATGGGAATAAAATTATACAATAATGTTAAACTAATAAAGGAAAGGCATTTCATAAGAAAAATTCTTCAGTTGGAACCCTTGAACAGTAGAAAAATAGCAAAATGTTGATCATACATGGATTTGGAGAAAATGTCACGCATAAAGTTGTAAGATTAAATTTATTTTGTTAAGTCATATAGAATATAATGTGTGCTTATATAAAGAGAAAAGCGACAACATTATTTCCCCATCAATCCCAGCCCACGAAAAATTTCAACAGAAATGTAGGCTAATAATTACATCTGATTTCCTCCATATGTTCAAGTCAGTTCATTAATCATGATTTTCTCATGGGATGGAGGATCTTATTCTTCTATATGAATCATGAGTTGCTTTTCGCAGGTTTTAAATTGCTCAAGAAATTCTTCGGAAACAAAGACAAAAAAGATGTTGAAAAATAATAGCTATTAGTAAGAATTTACAGATTTGTAGTTGCATACCCTACGAACAAGGTCCAGGCATAAATGGCGTTGAATGTCTCGACGAAGATCCGCAGGCAGAGCTTGTAATATGGCTTCTTCATCCACTCCTCGTGTCGCAAACCACTTATATTGGACAAATCGTCTAACCCGTTCTTTCAATTCATGAGGTAGCTGTCGATGCTTCATCCATTGTTCAGTGTCCCGCCTCTTTAACCTCCACTCTTCTAGCCTCACGGTAACAGATTGCAAGTAGGTCTGTAAATGTTTTCATTAGCTATTCAATTAAACAATACAGATAAATATGCATTTCTCTAAAATCACCTTAACGGAATACAAGCGGGGAATTTTGTATTCCCAAATGCATAATTTCAACATAAATTTAAACCGTGGTGCTTGAATCATTATGAAAAATTCAAAAATGGGGCAAAAAAACAATTAAACCACCAAACAAATAAGCAAAATAAGTTCTCACAAATATCACATCATAGAATTTAATGTTACATGGATGCAGGGAAATAATTTCTTAATACCTGCATGTTTCCAATCAAATGTGCAAATAGAACGAGTCCAAGAATAGCTATCAGTATGCAAAACGATGTCTCCCCTATGAAAGTGCTTGAAATCAACCCCTGGCCAAATGTGCTGCAAAGAAAGAGCAGAAAGTTGACCATCATGACTGGCAAAACAATGAACTAATGAATTAAAGAAAAAAGAACAATTCTAATTCTATAAGGTTGAATAAAAATTTGAGTTTCTCGACTCTTTGCCTTAGGATTAGTTATTTCCATAGGATTTAGGACATACTTGAAATCAAGGACTTGCATATGAAATAACAAAAAAAATCTATTGGAACTTTCTAATTCCAAGCACCACCTATACTGAGAAATCAATTAAAATATGTAATAAAATGTCTTCTGAAGCTCAAGGAATTGATTGACAAGAAATTATCATCGCCTTATCATGAATATGTTAGACCGGTCCAGTGGACCGGTCCAGCCGGTCCGCACAGAACCGGTCGAGTCGCGAAACAGGCGATTTGGAATTGATTGACAAGAAATTATAATTCCTATTATCATCGCCTTATCATGAATGACTAGAATTGCTAGCGCTTAGTTTATAACCTTTGACCTTATATGAACAGTCCACCATTTACAGGTTTCAAAGAATGGGGGTGCCCGTTTAGCCCAAAGTTTGACCATTTCAAAATCCTAATCAGTAGAACTAAATGGATGAAGGATTGGGCCATTATTTAATTTAGCTTTAAAATAGCACATTAAACTGACACTTTCCGCTAATAGCTAACTTGGTTCAACCAACTCATAATCTATCCAGTTAACTAGTGACAAAGTGGACATAAACATGCCTTAATGATCAATGTTGTGAGATCCTTAAAAATTAGGGCAGAGCAAGCCCATGATGAGCTTTGTGTCGACTAAGCTAAATGGGTTTTGGGAAGGCTTGGATTGCCCATTTTGAATCATTCTAAATCAAAATATGAGTCCACCCCTTGCTTTAAAATTGGACAAAGATTCTTTTCAAGTTGATAAATCATATTATCTGATAATATGGCTCGCAAGAAAATATTTACTAATATTATCCCTTAGTCAGTCGATCAAGCCAATATAAATTTTGCTTTAGGTTGAATTCCACATGGTATAGTAAGCATATATGATACTGTAGTCCCTACAATACCACTAAGCTCTTCTATCAAATAGGAGTTTGGCCACCAATTTTAGTTATACATTTTGCTCCTGAGATCCACCATCCTTTATTGTCATGCTAATCAAGATAAAGTAATGTCTTGTGTGAGTTCTAGAAACATAAATCATGCAAAAATCTAAATGTCACAGCATGCTATCAAAGAAAATCGAAAGGAGTGAACTTGAACGTGTATTGCAGACAGCTAGGTTTCCCAAGTTATTGCACCTCATTGCAAATATAAGTGTATGAAACAAATGGGATTTATAGTAGATAAATGTGTTATATAAGCTTCATTACAAAAAAACAAATTTGCTTTACTGAGAAGATTGGATTATTATAACGATCACTATATCAGGCATACCTCAAATTTTGCAAGCCCCACCAAAGACTATAAAAATACTTCCTAACAAAATCCGTGGCCACAGCCCCTGTTGTCAATGCATTCTCGTATATGCCAAAATTAAAATTGATATTATCATCACTAGCATTGCAATTTGCAAAAACAGCAGTACTATTTGCCCACTTTTGATCAATGTCGCTTGAAAAGTCACAGTCCAGAAACTTCATGTGGCATTTTGCACCTATAGTGCCGTTCTCCTTTGCGCATTCCAATTTCCAGCAGGTTGTCTGACGATCAATTGTTAGTAAATAATACGCTGCACCAATAACCTGCATGAATAGAAAACAAGTAATTCATAAATATAAACTTTGAGATTTTGAAGGGAATGAAATTCAATTAGTGAAATTCAATTAGTCTCTTTCCAAGGATATTAGAGAAGCAATCAAGTTCCAAGAGGAGTGTTGCAAGTTACATACATGGCTAGCAATCATGTAAAGGAGCAGATTATATGCCGCTCCTGCCCAAGCAGTCTTTGTAACAACGCCAGTGGCTTTAATAATCTGATAACTCAGTGGAAATATAAGATATAACCTTGGAATGTACTGAAACAGAATAATAAGGGCAAGTGTGTTGTTATTATGCTGAGGATTCGAATGCTTAACCACAGGGATAACTGACCAGACAACAATCTGAAACACAATTTAGAAGATGGACAAAAATCAGGGCCTTAAAGCAGGTAAGACAAACATTTGATGAAGAATTTTGCATGTATGCAAAGCAAATTTAAGAATTTAAAGTTGATAGAAGAATATTGCATGTCCTTTAGGAGAATTACATTTCTTTAATTACAGACCACCCTAACCGACTACATTAAAATGCTATGGAATGGAGCAGTGAAATGGAGCAGTGATAACGAGAGAGAAAATTAAAAAAACACCAGTGGTACAAGACGAAATTATATTGCTTAAAACATTTGCCATGTCCTTGTTCAGTAGTGAAAAGAAAATACAACAAACTTAATTTGAGCTGCTGCTTAATTAGAGATGAGGGTTTAGCTTGCAGATCGTCGACCATATTTTGAATTTTGGCTCTGATTGAGATTGGCTCAAACCAAATGAGTTGAGCCATGTATCAAAATGTATACACCAAAGTTATTATTTATTTTATTTCAAGTCACGGGTGAATCAGATTTGACAAGCTCAAAATAAGATCGAAAATAATTTTTTTTTACTTATAAAAAAAATTTATATATAAATTAATTTAGTAGAATTCTAATTTATGCTTCTCTTTCAATGGACGACATTCTAAGCCATAAAGAATTCCAGGTCTGACCATAATTTTCTAAAATTTCTCTTAAATTTGAGGGGTATTTTTCTATTACACAATAAGCCCAATGCAATCCTCCACTTCAACCATCCAACTTGAATTCTATTGATAATAACCCCATCTATTTTAACATTGCTTTGAATAATAGCCCCGAGATATCTAAAATGCGTACTCATTTTAATGACTTGATCACCCAATGGCACAATCCCACCACTAGATTTATTACTACTAAAATTACACTCCATGTATTCGATTTTAGATCTACTCAAATGATAACTTTTAGACTTAAGGTTACCTTCATAATTCAAGTTTTCTTTCAACTCACTCTCTAGTCTTATTCAAAACACTATCATTGTCAGGTCTCAAACCCTGAATGAGAAAAATGGAGGATTATATTAGGTAGCCGACAACCAACATAAAACTTGTCAAATAATCATGACAGGAATCATTTAACGCATATATCATTATGTTGCATAAAATAGTAAATGTTTATGTTTTGTCCCAATTTTTTTCATGTGGTGGTTTATTACCACTATTGTAAAAAATGTTTAAATAAAAGACCGATGCATTAGCAACCCAACATATACAATCAATGGAATAAGTTCAACAAAAAAAAAAACTAATATATATGATATAGAAAAATCTCAAAATAGTCCCGAGTCTACTCGTGTGTGGCCAATTTAATCTCAAAGTATTATGTTGCTCCAATAGTCCCTCAACAATACAAAATTAATCCAAAATTATCCCTTAAATTATAATTGTGAAATAAAATTGATCCCAATTTAATCTCAAAGGGTCATTTTGGATCAATTTTGTATATTCAATAGACTAAATTGGAGCAACATAATACTTTGGGACTACATAGGCCATATATGAATACATTCTCTAGAGTCTAGATATCATTGATGATACCCAGGTTGAATTCATTTACCTAATTATTTAAACATAATCAATTTATCAGACAGATTTTAAATAAATCCATTAAACTCTATAGTTAAAATTATTTTTCTCCTTTAAGAATCTTTACAAAAATCTTAGAGACATTTGTTTTCCTTCACAATCAGAGCCATGATGTAGATAATATTTTTGCATTACTTGGCGTTAAGTATGGAAATAAATTGGCAGGTCTATCTAGTTTGCAGATCAAGTTAGATTATTGTAACAATATGGCATGTCTGTGTAATTATGCAGCCTTTTCTTTTAACAATAAATGCAGCCAGTGTAGAAATATTTGGTAAGTTGGGAGTTTAAAAACCAGCAGAAAATTGAGTTGGAGTAAGACAAAATTTTAAAATATATATTTTTTTTAATTTGATTAAAATAAATCCACTCCTCAAAAAATCAGGTTAAGCACCACACCTCCCCCCTTGACCAAGTTCTCCTATTCTCACATAACACACAGAGGCCTCCTCTTATCCTCGCCTCTCTTTCCCACGAAGTGACACAAATATCTGTTCTCCTATTCTCAGCGTCCTCTACTCTCCTTCTAAGACAAATCATTACAGGTCGCCCGTGATGGGGACATTAGCAGCGATTTCGACACATGTACCTCCAGGAGATGCCGGAGATCGACGGCCACGATCATGATCTGTATTTTCATCATTTTATGTAGTAATTTATTTTTATTTTAAGTTTTTCCGTTTTTGCCCTTATGGGTATTTGGTAGCTATTGTAGCCCAAGGGGCATTTTAGTATTTTACTTTCTTTGTCATTCTATAAGTGATAATTTTATTTGGATTATTTTGTTAAAATTGCTCTCTTTAATTTCTTAAAGTAACTCCATCGCATGTTTGTTTCACATCAGCCCGCCTCTTCTCTCCCTCACATGCAAAAGGTGAGGTCGAACTCTCGCCTCTTCTCCTATAATTCATAGTCTCTTCTCCTATCCTTCTAATGTAGAGCAAGAGCATCGTCAGAAGGTGCTCAAGTTTCTTAACCAAACTCTATATTTATGCTTAATCAGAGCATTTTCATAATTTCAATTATCTTCATATTCTAGTGTTCAAAAGAATATTATGATCTAGTTGTGTATGTTTAATGTTTAATGCTCTAAAATTGATTTATCTTGTTCATGTTTATTCTTAATTTGATCTAACTTCAATAACTATGTATTAATGCTTAATGTTTAATGTTTAATCTTATTGTGTAATCCTTTCGTTCTTGATGTTTAATCAGAAGAATCCTATTTTTATGTTTGCTCAAAACATGTATGCCTTGTAAATCTTATTGTGTAATCCTTTCGTTCTTGATGTTTGCTCAAAGTTGATTCACTTACTTACAATGTTAGTCTTACATATTCAAGCTTCTATGAAGATATTTTTAATAAGTTATCAAAATCAAATTTAACAAAGTTTTCATGAAATTCATGAAATTAATAATGAATGATATTGGAAATAAAGTCGTAAGAAAATTTATTCATTAAAAGATTTAGGATTAGATTCACAAAATCTTCCATCAAATCATGGATTACCAATGCCAAATTATGAGTATAATCATAATATTCAAGATCAAGTTCAATGATCATGCTTATAGAGGCTCTTGTCAATCTTGTAATTATGACTTTCCAAGAAATAAATTTAGGAGCAAAGATTATAACTTCAATCCTAGTTAGCTTGATAAGTACTCTAATTGGTTAGAGTATAGTATATCTCAAAACAAAGTATATTGCTTATGTTGTTATCTTTTTAAGAGGTTGAGGAAAAGAAGATGATGAAACATTTAAAAAAATAAATTTCAAATAAAAAAATTAAACTTCATGTTGAGGTCCCTGGTCATAAGAATGCACAGAGAAATTGTGAGGGCTTCATGAAATAAAGTCAACATATTATTTTAGCATTTTAGAAACAATCTGATGATGCTAGAATTGAATATTGTATTTTTCTAAATGCTTCAACTGATTGGTGAGATTTCTTTTAAGACAAAAATTGACTATTCAAGAGTATGATGAATCTAATAAATCAATAAATCAAGGAATCTTCAAAAGCTTTTATTTTGGGTTAAACAATATATAAAATCTAACTAATATGGTATAATACCGAATTAAAAAATGGTCCCAAAAATTTAAAAATTAATAACTCCCCATATTCAAAAAAATATTAATAGATTTCCATCCAACGCAATAACAAATTTCATAAGGTGCTTGAAAATGGTTTTTTCAATTTTAATTAATGAATATTGTGATATATGCAAAAAAATAAATAGGAATTGTTTTGCATTATGTAATTGAACAAGGTCAAATTGTCGAGTGATTTTTTAGTATTGCAAATGTTCCAAAAATGCATTAAAATGATAATGATAAATAAACAACTATTCTCATTTTATGATTTAAGTATTTGAAGGATGCTTGGCCAAGATTATGATAGAGCTAGTAATATAAGAAGGCAATTTAATGCGTTAAAGGCATCATTCATGAATAAAAATAAATCAACACATTATATTCATTGCTCGCACACTAACTTCAATTAGCTTTGATATCAGTTGCAAAAAATCATGTTCTTATCTTGTTATTTAATATAATTTCAAATATGATAAGTATTATTGGTGTTCATGTAAACATCATGATTAACTCAGAGAAAAATAACGAGATAAAATATTATTGGGTTGTTTGGTTGCCTAAAAAGGGAATGCAGTATTAAAGAATATTTTGGAGTTTTTTGGATGCTTGTAAAAGAAATGCATTATAATACTTTTTTTTGTTTGGTTTGAAGCAAAATTAATGCGGACATCTGATCATGAAGATTTTCAAAGGAGGAGACGACGATCGATGGCCGAGATCATTCCACCTTATCTTAATTTGTTATTTGTAATTTTTATTTTTTATTATGAATTTTCCATTTTTACCTTACTTAAGAGGGTCATCCTATGTAAGTCATAGGGGCATATGTGTCTTGTTTTAGTTTCTTAGGCCTATATATAGAGCCTTTTATATATAGAGGCCCTTGCTTGTGTAATGTAATGTTGGATAATTAATAAAATTTTGTGTTTGCACTTGTGTTATTTGGGAAGAACCTTGGGTGAGATTCCTATGGGAGGAATTCATAGCTTCCACCAGCTGCAGGATGTGTCCAGGCTCGTGGCCTTAAGTCCCTTGGTGAAGGGAAATGTAGTACCCATCAGCTGCAGGATGTGTCCGGGCTCACGGTTGTATCTTTCTTTAAATCCTTTTCTCCTCCTCCCTTGACCGCCGGCCAAAATCCCCCACTTTCCACCGGCCGATTTTCCCATAAACCCGTCCACTTCCACAAAACCGACCTCCCCTTCTCCCTCCCCACGGCCTTAGCTCCACCTCCAACCAGTGGCGGAGCCAGAAATTTTGTTCAGGGGGGGGCTAAATTATAATAGTTATGTTTGCCATTTTATTTGG